GAGAGCTCTGCGGTCCTAGAGGAAAACGAGTCTTAAACATCTGCAAGGTATTCTGATACCCAAACCCTTCCCGTCTCAGGCCCTGAGAGCAGGTGACTCAGAGAACATCAGACTCCTGGCTTCTGCCCTCCACTCCACCACCCAGAGGAAAGGCCATCCTGACACCACATTCTCCCCCCCCCTACCAGGCCTCATCCTGGCTGGCAAGCTGGTCCAGCGTGACGAGAGCTCCAGAGCCCAAGACTGCTTTCCCCGGACTGCGGCTGCAGCCTGGAACCTCAAGAAGCACCAGCAGGAGGCACAGCAGTAAGGCCAGTGCCACGGCTGCACAGCAGAGCCAGTCTCCTCTCGACCCCCGGCCCCACCTGCAAAACATGCTCAAACTCTTCTCAGCCCTGATCCAAGCCTTTGCCCAGGCTATTTCCTCAGCCCAGAACACTCATGCGCATGTGCAAATAGGAATGATCTGAGAGTTTGCTTAAAATGCAGATTTCTAAGCCCTATATCCGTAGAGTCTGGGCCAGAGTCTGGCCTACTTCCCCATTGGTGGTTTCGGACGTCCCCTCCCTTCTACTCTCCAGCCTGTGCAGGAAAAAAAAAAAAAAAAAACCACCTCCGTTCAAACTCTTAGCTTCTAGAACACAAGCCACCCAAATCACCACTGTTGCCAGTCTTCCTGCCAGAGATGCAGATAGAGGTGGAGAGGTTTCCAAGGAGACAGACCTCGGCTCTGCAGAAAGGTCCTTCTGTAGAAGGACTCTGAGAAGGGGGAAGGATGCAGATAAGGCATGACTGAACCAGGGAAATGCATCAGCATCTTACTGCAAAAGCAAACTTCAGCCAGCTGAATCCACAGCTATCAGACAGTAGTAGATTGTGCTGACACCCGACCACTTAGAACTAAACTCCATTCTGTGCTCATGAACCTATTAGATGAAAATGCCTCGTTTTAGATAACTGCAAATTGCTTTCTGAGCATAATTTCCTATTAGTTCATTAATCTCTCTATTCAGAATGCCGACAAGACAGCTGATGATAATTCTGGAGGAAGTGGGCATTGAACCAAAGCAGGAGGCAAAGGGTTAGATATTTGGAAGTATCCTGGCTTCCGGGGTGGAGGGGTACCCCAAAATTAATTCATAACGCTAATTACAGTATTAGCTTTCATTTATTAAGCTCTTATAATGGGTCAGGTACCAGGCTAAGCATTTTCCCTTATTTATCTCAGTTGTTTTTTTTTTTTAAACAATCTAGTAAGGTAGATATTATTTTCTTCTTTCTATAGAGGAAGAAACGGAGCCTCAGAAGTGATTACACAGTTAGTGGCAGAGTCAGGATTCAAATATAGGTGTGTGTGTCTGACCTACAGCCTGGGTTCCTAATCATACCTTATCATTTTGACTCAGCACACAAATATTTACTGGATGAATTTAGTGGAGAAACCAGGATGAACAAGACTCCTGTTTATAGAATGAGGCCAAGGGATGTTAACAGCAGAAGAGACTGAAAAATAATCAGCAAAGATGGACCAACCTTCAAAAAAAAGAAATGTCAGGCTGGAAAATAAAATTGGATTTCGTCAAACTCCTGCTTTTATATAGAGCGGTGGTTCTCAAATTGTGGTCCCAAGACCAGAAGCAACAGCATCACCTGGGAACTTGTTAGAGATGCAAATTCTGGGGACCCACCTCAGACCCGCTGAATTGGAGACTCCAGGGCATAGGTCCAGGAAGCTATGTTTTAATAAACCTTCCAGGGGATTTTAATACACACTCAAGTTTTGAGACCCATAATCTAGAAAAATAAAATCAGCTCCACAAGGGAATTTGGGGCTCACGAGAGTAGTGCTTCTCAAACTTAATGTGCACAAGAATCACCAAGACAATCTTAAAATGCAGATTTGGATGCGGCAGGTCTGGGGTGGGGCCTGAGAGTCTGCATTTCTGCTCAGCTCCCAGGTGATGCTGATGCTGCAGGACCAGGGGCCACACTTGGAGTAGCAATGTGTCTAAGCCAGGGTGTTTCTGGCCATAACACAACCAGAATTGCTCTAGGTTTAAAAAAAGGGGGGCGGGCGAGAAAGAACCATTGCCTTTGGGATAGGTTCAAACCCAAGCCTCTGGAAATGCTTTAGGAAAACAGCAAATCACCCACATCACATACCACTTTTTTCCCAAAGTTCCCACTCAGGTATAAGACCTTCTCTGAGCACGTTAATTAAAACTGCAGACCCTTCCCTGACTCTTCCTATCTCCCTTCTCTGCTTTGCTCTTCTGCTCAGCACTTGCGCATCATCTGAACAGATGACCTATTTTACTAATTTACTTTGTTTACTGTCTGGCCTTCCCCATCTCCATCTCTCACCAGCATGTAAGCTCCATGAGGGCAGGGATTTTGTCTGTTTCATTCACTGTTATTTCCCCTGTGCCTAGAACAGTGCCCGGTGCATAGTACGTGCTCAATAAACATTAGTCAAGTAAATGAACGCACATTTCTGCCCATTTTTTCTAGAAGCTCCCTCCCCACTCCTGGCGCTGCCTCTGGGATTTCACCTGTTGCTGCTCTCATGCGTGTACTTCAGTTTCACCAAAATTTATTTCTCTATAGGTGTGTCTTCCCTTAAACTCTGTGGCAATGGGGTCTGTGTGTTACCCTTTTCTGTCCTTCATCCAACCCTTCCACTCAAAATTCTGCCAACCTTTGAAAACACATATAAACAGCCATCCATCCTCACTATAATTAAGGCAAAAACCACAGAATTTCATTCATGGAAGAGTAAGGTCAAACTTCAGCTGGTGATATCAGTAATGCATGCTCCTAATTACATACTAGAGGGAGCGCTAAACTCCACTGCCATCACACAAGTACAACGTCAAAGTTCCTGAAGCAACCCAGAACTCTGTAGCTGTTACAGACTCTGTTTTCACCTTTCGTGCAGTTTTTCTAAGGGCTGAGGCAAATTGGAAAGATCAGTTGTTCCTTCAAACCATGGCTTGGTTTGAATCTTGCCTCTTAGAGTTCCAGGAGCTATATCTGCACAAGGTGGAGTGAGGAGGACTTTTGATAAAACATTGTCATCTTGGGCAAGGACATTTCACCCATTCCTTCCAACCGCCCTGTGGCAGGGGGTGCTAATATCACGCCCACTTTGCAGGTAAGGAAACTGAGCCCTGGGATGACAGTCCCTTGCTCAAGGTCACACAGGGAGTCTGGCAATGCAGGTGGGACTCTGGCTGCTTTAAAGCCTCTGCTTCTGGCTGCTTTAAAGCCTCTGCTTCTGGCACCCACCTCTCTCCCTAGGTCCCCGTCCCTCCCCCAACCCTTGGCAGGGTCTGAGCCTCTGCTCATTACTTCTAGAACAGAGACAGCATGAGTGGAGGCTATCTCATACTTCTGCCTCTAGCGCTGAAAATTAAAATGGCTCAGGGAGTATTCAGCCTTGCCGACTCCTGGCTGCATCCCTGTCACCTAATTACCTGACTTCAAAGCCTCCACTCGGCAGATGTGAAGATGTGAAAGCTGCCATTTCCCCTGAGAACACGGAGTGACTACACACAGATAAGACAGGCCCCAGAGCAGCTAGTGTACCGGGGAAATCAGACAGAACTTTGAGATGGGCCCGAGGGCTTGGCTTAGCGTGTCTCAAAGTCAGAAAGACCAGGGGCCGCCATCCTGGGTACTCACCTGAGAGCTGGGTCTATAAAGGACCAAGGTGGGGATGTGGGCCTCCAAACACTAATGCTTGGTAGTTACTGCCCCCATCTCCTTCCCTTGTGCCATGGAGCTTAAGGCTCCTTTAGAGGCTGGAACTCATTAATCCTCCCCACAACTCCAGGAGGGAAGGGCACTCAGCCTCACCTTATGACTGAGACATCCAGGCTGCGGGAAGAGTAAGAACTCCTTCATGGGGCAGGGATGTGGGGAGGCCTGAAGGAACCCAAATGAGTTCCCAGCCTGGACTGGACAAGGAAGAGGAAGTCTAGAGGAGAAAGAAGCGTTCCTACTTTTCAACTTAGTGGCTCCTGTAAGGCGATCAGAGGCACACTCATTTGTAACCCTTAGATACAGCTGAATGTTACTGACTATTTTACAGTAATTGGACCAAAGCAGGTATTTAATACAAGTTTACAGAAGAAAAGAGGAAGGCCAGACAGAAAGGCATTTCTGACCTTTGACAGAGGACAAAACCCTAAGCCTGGCACTGGGCTATGTCCTTTGGTGCTGATTTATTCAATGCTCACTGTCACACTGGGCAGGTGTGATGATTATTCCTTTCATGCAGATGAAAATACTAGCAACAGAAATGTGGGGCAACTCGCCCAATGTCATTGAGCTAGACAGCCACTCCTTAGCTGTGTGACCTCAGGTTTATCCTTGCTGGGAGTCAGCTTTCACATCTGTAAAATGGGAAGACTCAGAACCACCGCCCCCCCGCCCCGAGAGGCACCCCAAGAAGAAAAAATAAAGGGCAAAAGGCCTTCGCAAACTCTAACTCAGGGATCAGCAAACCATGGCTGAGTGGCCAAAGCCAGCCACGGCATATTTCTGTACAAAAGCCTTTACTGGAATAAATAAATTTGTCACACTTATTTGTTTATGTATTGTCTATGGCTGCTTTTGAGCAACACAGCAGAGCTGAGTGGTTGTAACAGGGACCCATTGGCCCACAAAGCCTAAAATATTTACTGTCTGGTCGACTAGAGAAAAAGTTTGCCAACCCCTGATTTCAGATGCTATGAAAATGCAAGTTCCCACTGTGCCTCTGCAGACAGCACTATGCGTTTCCAGCATCGCCCTCAGCTCTGGTTCTTATTCATAAGCTCTCTCCTTGACCCTTTACCCATGTGTAGAGGTTGATTTAAGACCTATTTCTGAAAAAACAGAGAAGCAGCTCTCCTGAGAGCCAAGAAACCAAAATCCCATAAGCTATTTCAGAGCCCAGGATGACTCCTGCCGACATCAGGCACCATGGAAAGGTGCTTCCAGGAACAGCCACTTACTTGCAGTTTTTACACTTGAGGCCAAAAAGCATCCCCTTCCCACAGACTGTGCATGTCTGAGACATCCAGTACTTCGTGGAAAACCTGCGGGAAAGAGACAGAAAGTGTTCAAGGCCAAGGTGAAGGCGACTGACCTATCTCCAGAAGGATGACCACTGACAGGATAAGAACGTGGGCCCTGGATTCCAGCCCCTCTTCTTCAGAGATATGTGACTTAATCGAGTTGCTTAAACTTCAGTCTCTTTATCTGTAAAGTGGGAATAATAACAGTATTGACCTCATAGGTTGTTCAGAGGATTAAACAAGGTCATGCACAGTGCAAGGGCTTTACATAGTGCCTTGTAAACAGAAAGCGCTCACTGAATTGGGCTGTGACTGTATTGTTACCCAAACATTCATAACAGTCATTCAGTCGTTCAACAAACATTGCCTGCCTGGAGGTCTACTACGTGCCAAGTTCAGATTGGAGACAGATGGATAGGGCTAGAACTGTCCTCAGAGAACCCCCAAGCGAGGTGGGGCCCCCTGGAGGTCTATTCTCCATCACTGCTAGTTACATTGCCTGGGGAGCTTCAAGAAGGGGTGATCCCCCCAAAAGTGGAGACTGCAAACGTTAGTAGCAGAGAAGAGGGCCCTAAAGGGAAAGCCATTTTGGACATCAGCCCACCTCGCTCCCCAGCCACCACCACGTGCTGCAAACATAAGGCAGTGTAGAGGTTTCCGATATACAGCTAGGAACCAGTGGGAACAGAGATGCATTTGATTAACTTCTGGGGCCCCCTGCTGCCGCCAGGGTGCTTTCCTCTTCATGAGATACCAGGCAGCAGCAGGGCTGGCCCCAAGAAGAGTATTGAAGGTTGCCAGGTCAGGGTTAATTTTCATTTTCAATTTTTGTCACCTTCCGCAGGAGTTGTAGCTAATCTCCACTGCCTCACGGTGTCAAAATGAAAATTGGAAGCGATTATGTAACTTGGTGCTTAAGAATTTTGAGGGCCAGCCTGCATCCCTCTGCTGTACCATCTTGCCTGATTTAGGTCAGTCACTCTTCCAACAGAATGATCTGCAGCCCAAAGCCTCCATAACTAAGCAAATAGCAATATTCTAAAGAGACACTCTTGTGGCCAAGAAAACTCCCTTTCCAGTTTTGGACTGGGGGTTGGTTAAGTCCCTTTCTGCCCCTTTAGCAGGATAAGCAAGTGTGGCAGGATCTATTTTGCAGGATTTGTCAGCTCTGGGGAATGGCAAACGGACTCGTGTTTCATCCACCAGCCAGCAGCATGGGAATCGCGAGTATGAGTGGCAGGTGGGAGTTCCTTCTCCTTTCCAGCCCTCTCCCATCCCTGGGATCAGCAATCCCTCTTCCAAGCTGTGGCTGAGGTGACTCTGAGGACAGCGGATGGTATGGGATTTTAATTTCATTTTTTCACCAAGGCTGGGATGAGTCTAGGTCTTTCCATCCCGGCATGGAGCCCAGGGAGAAACACAGGGTGAGACTGGAGAGTAACAAGGCATCCCAAGTGCCAGTTCCTCTAAGAAGATGTTCCTGATGCCCAAGATCATCAGATCATTTTCCTCCTCTTGGCATCAGCATTTGAATCTGAGGTACCACCAGGTCTAACATTAGGGTGCTAGAATCTAGTGTCGTGGCTGAGCCATGGGTGTGGCCAATTGGGTGGAGCCAATCCAGGGGTGGAGCTGAGCTAGGGGTGTGGCCAATCCAGAAGTGAAGCTGAGCCAGGGAGCAGCCTGTAAGCAAACAAAAAAAGGCCCTTCTTTTTGATGCCTTTCCCTCTGCATCTCACCGCCTGACCACTGACGTGTCTATCGTGTATTTCTCACGACTTCCTCCACCGTTTTCTCATTTGAGTCCTAACAACTATCCTGTCAACATATTTCTTTCAAAAACTGTTGACGAGATGCCATTCTGGGAGAATGTGCTCATTCCTGCCTCACCCCGGGTTACAGTGACGTGTCTGCCCCTGGAATTGCCTCCCCCGCTTATAGCCCTGATCCCCACCACCACTGTACTGTCATGGTCTGTTAACTAGACCTCAAGCTCCCCAAGGTTGAAAGCCTTACGTCGTGTTCAGTGCTGCAGCCCCGGTACAGATATTCTCTATAAATACTAGTGGAAAGAAACCATGAAGGAGTGAACTCTCTGCTGGTCACAGAGGCCTCGTGCAAAGAAAGCTCTCAGCAGAGGTGTCAAAAGAACACAAAATGCTGGGGTTAATTAGCTTGTAGATTCATCACTTAATCATTCAGGGACTCAGTTTCCCTATCTGTCAAATGGACATGACCACACTTGTGCTACTTACCCCACTGAGTTTGTGAACAGATTGTGAGGATAACGAGATAAAACGTGGGAAGTTAACTTCGTATAACGGGTGACTTAGTAGATAGAAATCTTCCTCCTGAAAAGGGCAGGTGTACTCCTGGAGAGGTTGTCCCGGGCACCCAACAGGGCTGGAGCCCTGGACTGACCTATGCTTCAGCAGAAAGTGAGCATCTCTGACTTCAGCCTGCAATCTTGTCTTCTGGGTGGGGAGACCCAAAATTAGGACAAGCATTTGTCTTAATATTGATACTATTTACTGAGTGGTTATTATGTGCCAGGCCCTTTGCTTAGCACTTTAATATATTATCTCATTTAATCCTCATGACCACCCTATGAGTAGTCAGAAATATCTGATGAGAAAATTGAGTCTCAGAGAGGTTAAGTAACTTCCTCAAGGTTGCAAAGCTTTACCAGCTGGGATTGGAATACAGGTCAGTCTGACTCCAAAGCCCTGGCTTTTAACCAGTAGGTGTTAATTTTATGAGCCAGGTGAATAAGAAGCAGACATCTCAGTCCCTTGCCACGTCGAGGTTCAGCCTGGCAGAGGAGAGAAAAGCATGGTGATATCGGAGCTGGGGCAAAACAGCCTGCCCAGCCTTTCCCCACGCTGGGGCCAGAGGCCCCAGCCCTCCCTGTGCTGGGAGGTGGGCCCCCGTGCAGCCAGGAATCCAGCCTACCTGTGCTTGATGGAGTTGCCGAGGTCTCTGCGAGGGATCTGTGGGGACCAGCGTGGCACTGACAGTGTGTCTGCGGGGAGAGAAGAGAGGAGGAGTAGGTCCTGTTACACAGAGGATCGGAAGTGGGGGGTGGGCTCCCACCAAGCCCCGGAAGGAAGACGGAGGCTCGCTGGCCTCAGGAAGGACACTGGCCGCCATCACTTGCTAAACCAAAGCCAAGTGGAAAACTGGTTTAGCTTGTGTTACCTTAACTCACGCAAGGTCCCCCAGGTGGGGCAGTGCCTGGAAAAAAAACCAGCTGGGGGAAGAATAAAACTGAGCATGGCTCCCATTTACCAAGTGCTCACTGTGTACCAGGCATGTGCCATGTGACTCACATGCCTTAGCTCGTTACCTCCTCAAAACAAGGTTAGGGATTGTTAGCATCCCAACCTTCCAGGTGAGGAAGCTGAGGCTTGGAGAGAGGAAGTCATATGCTCAAGATCATACACCTTGTAGATCACACAGCAGCTGTGAATCCAGGCTTACGGGACCTAGAACACGTGCCTGTGTAGGCAGAGTTCTAACTCAGCAGGTTCCAAATGCCAGTCATACAAGTAACACTTTCCTAATTTTTGTCATGCCCCTGTACAACCCATAAAATTATCTACTTAATATTTTAGGTTGACTTATTTGTTTGTTTAAACACATTTATTCTCAAAGCAACTCTACATGGAAAACCAATATCACTTTCTGTATAAGTAACTATTTAAAATATGTCTAACTATGTACCACCTAAACTCACGCTGGAATAGGTGGATGGATTGATGAATGGATGATTGAGTGGGTAGATGGATGGGTAGGTGGGTGGATGGGTGGGTGGACGGATGGATGGATGAATGTCTGGATAGGTGCCTGGATGGACAGATGAGTCAGCAGATAGACAGATGGGGAGGCGGGTGGATGGACTGGTAGGTGGGTAGATGGATGGATGGATGAATGGTTGGATGGGTGGGTAGATGGACAGATGAGGAGTTGCAAGGTGGACAGATGGGTAGGCGGATGGATGGATTGGTAGGTGGGTGGATGGATGGATGGATGGATGGACAGCTAGATGAATGGATAAATTGATGGATGAATGGGAATGAGGAAGAAACAATAAATCACACAGACTTCAGGCTGGGTGCCTATGCCCGCCTGGTCTTTTCTTTCATGCCTCAGGCTACATCCCAGCGACGCACATTATCCCTCCACCACTGACTGAGTTCCAGGGCTTCTTCCACAGCCCCTGGGCACCAGCCCCCACCTTCACTCCACCGCCTGGTTGCCCGCATCACCCTCCTCGCAGACCCCACAGGCCCCAGAGAGGTGTGAAACAACAGCAGAAATGGACCGGTGCGGCCTGTGAAACCTCCACCAGCTAGGGGAGAGAAGGAGGAAGTGGCTGACCCACACGCCAGCTCTCATTTCTCAGGCCAGATGGATGGAGCCAGATCTCTGTCCTCAGAGCTGCAAATGCACGCCTCATTTTTCACAGCAGTTGTTATGGAGTGGCACGCTCACTGGGGAGCTGGGCATGTCTGCACCGATCAGGGAGCATTTAACCCTAACCCATTCACTCCTCTCTTCTGTCTAATGACACTGTCAACAGCCATCTGAAAGCTGTTTCCAGAAACCCCAATTCTGCCCTTGTAAAGCTGGGACCATTTCTGGAAGAGCTAATGATTTCCCAAGCCCCAAAGGCCAGAGAAAGAGGGAGACAGCATGTATCGCTCAGAATCAGAGCCAGTGGAATTTCCTCTAGTTTAACTAAAAACTAAATGTCATCAAGTCCAAGCCCATTTTATTATTTGTTTTGGCTTCTGAGAGAAGCAAAAAAGACAAGAAAGAAAGACAATTTTAAAAGAGAGAGAGAGAGCGAGAGAGCAGGGGACTGAAGTCAGATTTGGAAGGAAGGATTCTGCTACCTGCTAAGTCCTTAAGATGCTTTCTCCAGTGCCAGGGATGGGTAGAGGTGGAATGGCTATGCTGGAGAGGAAGGGTTAGCTCAGATACACAGCCTCCTCATGGGGAATCTGCAAAGTGAGGAGTGCCAAAGGGGTTTCCTCTCATGGGATGTTAGTAGTGGCTGCCTAGGAAAGTGTGTTGAGAAGGATTCTGAGGCTCAAGAGGAAAGAGCATTGAGACTGATTAGTAACGTCTGCCATGGGTGAAGAATAAGGCAGTACCAACAAGTCTCCATATTTTTGCCACTCCTACAAGGACAGGGACCACATCTTCATCTTTGCATCACTGCCTCATAGCACAGCAAGCACCTGGGACAAAGTAAGTACGTAACACATGTTTGCTGAATCTGAGATTATTATCATAGAAACAGTGAATTTACTGAGCACTCAATATGTGGTAGGCATAATTCTGTGCAGTTTATACACAGAAGCTTTGCCTCTGTGCAGTCGGTGTTCTCATTATTCCCACTGCACAAAGGTAGACACAGGAGCTCAAAGAGGTGCAGTGACTAGCTAAAGGTCACACAGCTGGGCACTGGTAGATCCTCAAGGAGTAACTCTGCAGTTGTTCGCAAGCCTTCCAAAAGCCCCTACATCAGCATCTTCAATCAGGGGCACTTTTGCCCGGGGGAACATTTGGCATTGTTTGGAGATACTGCCAAATAACTGGGGCGGTGGTATGGGGATGCTACCGGCATCTAATGTGTAGAGACCAGGGATGCTACTCAACATCCCACAATACACAAGACAGATCCCCACGTCAAGGAACTAACTAGACCCAGGCTTCCCTGGTGGCGCAGTGGTTGAGAGTCCGCCTGCCGATGCAGGGG